TGAAAATATTTCTATGCAAGGGTTTTGTATTGGTGCCCATCACCATAGCATGTGAATCTGCTCAGTGAAAAAGACAGTTACCTTAGAACTGGTTCCCCTAAGGAATGGGTTGCTTAACCAGTCACATGTTTCAAAACCTGATGAATCCATGTGATAGTGTTTGCTTGGTTTGATCTGCTGCTTGGTTTTTGGACTCAGTAAAGAGGTAGCGAAGCAACATGTTTGAAAACCAGATAATTTCTGTTGAAAACTTTTGTTTAGGATGCAAATGAAAACAAAGATTACATGTTTGTTTCCAGATATCCTTGCATCATATTGTTTATATGGAATTGTAAATAACTGAAAGCACATCCAAAGTAACTATACTCAAGAATTTTACAGAATTAGTAGTATTCTAGCCTGGCTTAATCAAGAAGCTTCTTTTCTGTTATAATTCCAATGATGTAATTGCTTAAGGAAGTATATTACATGATTTAAACTGAAAAGACAGTCATGCTGATTGAGCTGATCGGACTTTTTCTGGTTGTATCGCCCTACTTGGTACAGGTGTAACTATTTATCAAAAATGAATGTGAAATAAAAAGGCCAGTCCCTTTTGATTCATGAAGCTGAGAGAGCAGAGGAAAACATAAACAACCGCTACAAGTAAAACCCGAACTATGCTTATGAAGATATTATATTATATTATATTATATAATATTATATTATATTATATTAGGATTTGGAAAAAGCTGTGAGTTTCTGTATGTGTGAGAGAAGTTTGACATTGACTACAGATTAATACTCTGTCATTAAAATGACTATGCTTACAACAAGCATAAATCCTGACTTTTGGAAATTCTTAGGATATATAATACACATATAGGCTTCATAAATAAAAAAAAATCTGTTTAAATTTTGGATATGATATAAAAGTAAGATAAAAATTAAAAATGAGTTATCTCATTTTTAAGTGTTATCTTAGTTTTATATCATACATATATATATATGATCAGGTGTTCAAGATTCGGAAAATCTGAATTTACTTTTAGGGCACTGTCAGCAGCCTCTATGTCAGATGGGCTCTAATTTATTCCTGTGGTATTAGGTATAAGTTGTCTAAAAAGACTGTTTCATAATTCCAGTCAACAACTAGCAGTGGATTTTTCACATGTATGATTTTAAGAATCTCTTTTTGGAGATATTTTCTACAATTGCAGAAGGTTGCTTTGGTACCTGGAAAGGAACCTAAGAAAAACCAGGAAGAATCTATATGTATATTAAATGGTGCAGAATGACTATTTTGAATGATACACATGATAAGTCATTGGATAACATTACCCAAATAGATGAACTCCCAATAAATGCAGGTTTTCAAAATAGAGCCAGAACTCTTGTAAATGGCGGGAAGTGGAGGGGGACCGAGGGGGTAGCAGAATTAGAAAGTTAAATATGTAATTGATGATTAAGTTTTGGCTGCATTTAGAACTGATGATGGTGATCTGTGCCAAAAAGCTCTGTGCATCCCACCACCTCAGGGACCTGAGAGGACAAATTTTAACCCTCTGAGAAAGAAAAGCTATACAAACTCAAGGTGCTAGAAGTAATAGCTTAGTGATTGATTTGTAACAGCTTTGGTGGCCAGTGTCTTTTCTGTGATGATTGCAGACCTGCGCTCCAAGAGCTAAAATGTAATTTAAAAGTCACATGTTTTGTGATTGTTAAGATGACCTTAATAAGGTGAACTCAGTGCAAACCAGTGTGCACTGTTATCAATATATCTCCAGGTAAAACAATTGCTTTGAAATCATTATAAACAGTTCCATTTATTTTAGAATTATTTTAGGATCCAGCCTACTTATGACAACTTAAACATCAACTTTGTTAATTGTTCCACTGTAGATCACAGCATGGAAGAAAAGACAGGAATGGTCATATTGTGAGAAACTACTCATTCTGAATGGCATTTTATTTTAACGTCATGAGGAAATGCAGTTTATATTTAAACAGTATTTGAAAATGCAGTCATATCTTTTCCAAACTGATGTAGTGACAAATTTCTATTGAAAGGCTGTTTTTTGCCCCTAGCAAAATCATTGAAGTTTTATGAAAATTATTTGTTCCATACAGATTTCCACCTGAAAAAATGGAGACATTATTAAAGTACAACAACATAAATAAAACCTATATAGGCATGTGCTTACTTGTGACCGGAGATGATCCAAAATTTAAATATAAAAGCTTTAATTAAGTAAAAGGATCAATTGTCACATTTAGAGGTGTCACTGAGCATGGTATAGTAATTTTTTTAATTAGATTTGTTGCCAAACACTAACACACACAGTTTTATCTGAGTAATATTTGCATTAATCATTTTAAAACATTTTCTGTTTTACAACTCCTACATAAATATTGAAGCAGATAATTCTTTAAACAGCAAGGGAAGAAGTGCTGGAGATCACAGAAATGAGAGAAGAGGAACATGTAAAGGTTGTTGGTTTAGTGTTATATCTTGTATCTGCACGTAAGAAAAAGATGCTTACAGTATCACTCGCCCCACTGAAGTCAGTGAGGAAACTCCAACTGACTTCCTGGAGCCAGATTTTCACCTACTATTAATGATGAATGTGGGCTGATGCATATTATGCAAAATTTTATGCATCACTCAGATAAAATTATACTTGTTATGATTTGGTTATGAAACACATGCATTGCATATTGCTTAATTCAGAAAGGAAAGGGTTCATTTTCTTGGACCATATGCACAAGGACTAAGCTGGGAGTCCATATGAGCTGTTGCATTCCTGTTGACCAGTATCACTAGGGAACCGTAAAAGGTGATACATTGTTGCAAATTGTACTGGACTCCAGCTGTGTCCATTTAATTAATTTGAGTCTGGCTTGGAGACAGAGCTCCTTTTGGAAGCTGATGACACTGACTGTTTTAATCTATAAATACCTTGGAATCTTCTTTCTTAGTGTTTAATAAATGTTATGCATTTTAGCAAGCAAATCTTCAGTGGCTTGTTTTTGATGGTTCAGTATATAACAGACACTCAGAGCTAAAGGATAACTGTGTCCCTACAGATTATTAACTCCATCCAATGAGCAATGAAAACAACTAGTCCTGTCTACCAGCCTGACTGTGTGGCTCATATACAGTTTATTATTGTACTAGCAGTAACTGGTTTCATCTTAAAAAAGATATTTCAAAACATATACATATTAATGGGAAATATTTGTTTATAGAGATTAGGGATAAATTTACTTTATCATCTGTCCGTAATTCTGCCAGATAATTGTTTTTGCTTCCCCGCAGTTGTGAATTTTTCCTTTAAAATTGTACTGTTCAGCATTTGGCCATTGTAAGTCTGGTATATTGCAAAATACTGGAGCCAGAAATGGTTTCTAAACTGTGATTTCACAGTAGGTTACAATGCTTTCTTCCAGTCCTGCAATACCTTGGACTTGAATACATTAGGAATAGGAAAGCTATTTTAAATAGCTCATAGAGATTTCTGAAATTGTATTACAACATTTTGTCCTCTCAAGGCCAGTTTTGAGTATCTAAGAAATCTAGCTTTGCAGCTAAGAGGTATTAAAAGTAGTACCCATGAAAATACAATGATCTAAAACACAACTAAAGTAGTCATAGATAGTTTTTTGTAAATATTTGGCATTAACAGAATGCGCAAAAGGTATGATGTAAGATACAGGTTTTATTTGAACCCTTGTTTAAAGACAATATAATTCATTCATGACTTCACTTCTTGTGAATAATGTTGCCATTCAAATATTAACTGAGTAGTTTTATACCATGCTTTCATATATCCTCTTTGTATTTTCTTGCATGCATTAATACCATGCTACCCGTACCTTTAAAGTTGTAAGGGCTGAATGAATAGTTTTGGAAAGAAAAGATAGTCCACTCACTGGAAGTTTGATACAATAAAAAAATTATATGGAGCAAATTCAGGGAAAAAGATGGAAAAATCTTTCGTTACTGAGTTTTGATATTGCCTTTTTATTTTACAACTTTTTAATATAACTTTTTCTTATTTAATAAATGAGACCCCTTACATGAGCATAACCATGAATATTGATGCATGTGGTATGTAAACATCCATATATGATGCTGGAAGAATAAATTCCATAGTAGCTAGATCTTATTGAACTGGATTCTTTATAGTGTGAGTATATATGGTTATGCTTTAAGAAGTAACCTACTTTTCCTCCTTGGTCACCAATGTATCATTTTTGGTGGTGGTCTTCATCATTAAATTGTAGAATATTTTAAATCAACTGATTATCTTCCCCGTAAATGTAGGATTGTACAAATTTTCCAAGCCTACATTTAAAAAGAGGTGGCCAGGTTACTTCATTCCTGAAATATAGAGTTCCCACTTTCTGTGAAAAGGACATTCTGGGGCATGATGACAGTTTAGGCTCTTTCATTAATCCTCCATAGTCCTCCCCTACATACCCTTCTTTGGTAATTATTGGTCAGACTTCCAACACGTGTATTCTATGTGGATGTATATGTACATATTCTGTATGTATGTCCCATACATTGTACATATATGTACAATATGTACATATGTATATGTACATATTCTGTATGTATGTCCCAAGGCAGCCAGGGTCCTGTCCCTTGTGAATATAGCTTTGGCAGAGTTAATTTGTGTTCATATTAAGTGCCTCAGGACATGTGTTTTGGTCACTTCAGTATTTCTGCAGGAACAGCGCTATTATCATAAAATAAACTGATGAAAATCACATCCAGATAGGACTAGAGCTTGGCAGAAAATTACTGTAATTTATACATATAGTACCTATATACTTAATGAATATGCTGCCCACTAAGAATAGCATATCTAGAATTATTAGTTTATTAGAATTTCATACTCTAGCGTGTAGATGCTATGGTGATGGGCATTCTAGAAAATCCTAAGATAGGTAGGTAGATTTCTTAAACACAATGTATATATTTTACAAGGCATTCTTTTGGTTTTGTTTTGTAGCCTAACAGCAGTGGTCAAGCCCATCACAGTGCGGTGCGACCTGTGACCCTGACCATGACAGATACTAAACCCATCACTACATCCACTGAAGGTGAGGCATCTTCACCTACAGCAACCAGTAAGTATTTCTCTAGGAAACAAAAAATGTCCATCAAAGATTCAATATGATTTCAAATTAAGGCCAAAAAAGGCGCCTTTTCCTACTATTTGACCAAGTGGATGCTCATCATTTATACTGAGATCAGATCCGACCACAAAGCTTTTCCTCCTCAAATTCCAGTAAAATATATCATGTTGCATAAATTTGTGTGAGACATGACAACCAGAATCTAATGGGAAAAGCATATTTCTTTGAGCACCACCTAATAGAGAATGAAATATGGTTGTTCATCTAAGGTGGACATTGTAATAACATTGAGAAGCACAGTCACATGACAAGGTTTTCAAATCACTCATACCTGGATTCCAAAATAAGATTGGAAAATTGCTCCTCAATCAGCTTTCCTACAGAAATCAAGCCTTGTTACAAAGCATACTGAATCAGAGCTATGATAATTGCATATTTACATAGGTTGTGTTATTGCTAGCTAAAATCAAAATATTTGGCATACAGAAAAAGGCGATTTTAATTCATTGTAATTGATACAGCAAAGGCTGGCAGCTTAATGGCAGTTTTTTCAATGCCTTGAAAGTTTAATGCACTTTGTGCAACATTCTGGATCCCATATTATTTATCCTATTAACTTCAATGGAATTGCAACCATGTATGTGTGTACAAAGTACACATCGGTGCCATTTGACTTTTTTTGGACAATAATTTCATGTACAGTGATATTCAAGGGGTTAATTTTTATCTCGTTCCTGCACTTATGTTAGCAAGGCTAGGTAAATATTGTCACTAACATTTAGGTCTTTAAAGGTTCAACATTAGTAACATTTATTAGAATGGTGAAAAAAACCATTAGAAAATAAACCCAATCAGACAATTTAGAAGAACATTTCTAAGCTGAAATTTTTGTCTTTCAGAGGGAAGTTAGAGCTCATTCTCTGCTTAAGCCTAATCAAACCAAGAGGAGGAAGAGAAAAAAAAAACTAAATCAGAATGAAAAACTAAATTTTTTTAGGGTCACTTGCATTTAAATTGAAGTTGAATTCAATTTCTAAATTTGGGTTGTGGTCTTAGACATTGGATAACCATTAATCAAGCCTGTAAAATGTGTTTTTTCGGTATTTAGATATTTCCTTATTTTGGAAAATGAAATAAAGATTCAAATGATTATGAGTGAGCTGTATATCTAGGGGAAATGGTATGACTATTTATTATGAAGAGGGAATTGTGTCCATAGCAGTCAATTTAAGCAAAGGCCATTGTCTCATTATAAACTGGTAGTTATATTGATAGATTTGTGTAACTATTTTAGCTATAATCTTGGAATAGCAAAATAGGGAACTAGGTAGTGCAGTGGATTGGCACCTCTCTGCTAGTTGGTAGTGCAGATTCTACACCGTTTCTCCTATGCTCAGCAGCCAAAAAAATAATGATCTAACCTTTCACCTCAGGGTGGTAGGGAAACCTGGGCTTAGATATGGTTTTGGGTAATGATAGTTTCATTCTTACTCCTATTGGTGATACTCACAAAGAGTGGTACCATGTCTGGTTCTGCTCAAGAGAGGCCAGGCCCAGCATAGGAGAGGAAGAGATATCCAGTGTGATATCAGAACTGTGGTAAGAAGCTTGCATGCTTATTAGCTCAAATTGCAGCCTAATTCAGCTAGTCTGTTTAGATGAAAACAAACCTGATGTGTACACTAATAATTACCCTTTTATTGAAGGGCAAAGGCTGTGAGTTCCAAAAAGAAAAGAAAAACAACAAAAAAACAGTCATAAAGGAATAAGGCACACCATTTTTATTGAATTTCAGTGGAATTTGGATACCTAATCCCTTTATAGTCCTTTGAGTATCCCAGCTAAGATCTTTGAAATGAGGTTTTTGTGCCATGTTGAACATTATGTGATTAGCCTCTTGCTTCTACAGCTTTTCTGCTACTAATGCATATAATGAAAAATGTACACATGAAAATCCATGTGTGAAATGTGTACACAAGTGAGGAAACAAAAATTACATTTACAAGAAATTTGTATGTTTTAAATATGCATGTCAGTAATGGGAGCTTATGAAAAATTTTCAGTAAGGAGGAAAAGAAGAAAAAGCATATTATGCTGCTGAAAATACACCTTCCACCTTCCATTAGTGCCTCATGGCATCCAGTATGCATTTCATGGGAGAATTTGGCCTTCATAGTTTTTACAGCATCTTTGCAACTTTATTTCTAATAAATGATTAAATTAAAAGAGAGAAAATAATCTTTAGCTTATAATTCGCCAGAAATATTACTTAGAGATAATATAACCGATGGCATATCTGTCTAGCTTCTTTCCACCTAATTCAGCATACAATGGCAAATGATTAAACTGCTTTTTATTCTGAAGGTGCAACAATGGAATTTTTCAGAACTAAAAATATAACTTTTCTCTTTAACTGGTGAAGTGGGAGCCCTATGGTCTAAAAGTCTTTTTTTCTCTACATCTGAACCATTTTTATAGTAGTTGCTCAGTGAAAAGTGTGTGTTCTAAAAAGCCATATATAACAAATAATCCTTAGAATTTGATAACATTTCATTTATTTGCATTTGCTATATGATTTAATACCTCAGGTCTTCTGGGTGAAAAACTCCATCTACCTTCTTTACTCTCTCTTTAGTTTTATGTCCATTCAATTTTGGCAACTCTGTTTTGTCTGTAAGCAAAGGTGCCTCTTGTAATGATGATTGTCGCAATGTGGATGTCTACACACTGGGAAGTGAAGTGAGACCACCTACCTCATTTCATATAGGCCACCAGAAGTCATTAGATGGTAATGACTTTCAGTCATTACTGACCTAGGTCAGATTTGAATGATGACCTGCAGGTGAAAGGTTCCATATCCCATTACCAATCCTCTGAGCCACCCAGTACCCCAAACTAAGATTTTTCTTAGCTTCCACAACAGAGGCGGCAGAGCTTTTATTGCACTGGTCCCTAAATGCAAGTTGTTTTCTGAGGTGTAAACTAGTGAATGTTCAGTCTTAAACTGCACAGTAGAAGTTAACTCCTTTCTCATGTTGTTATTAATCAAACTGCACATTCCAGATGACTGTGAAGATTCATTTCATACCAGATTAGCAAATTCACTGTTTGATCAACAGTTTAAGGATTACATTTTTCCCAAATAAATTTGTGATGTTCACTACAACTATAACAATCAGCAGAAATGAATATATCATTATTTTTCTCTGACTCAGTTGCAATTGCATTGGTTTCATTGGAGATTTGCTCGCAGTATAATGGAACTTTAAAACAGAGATTCCTTTACTTCTAGTTCTTGGTAAAATTATGTAATCCATAATTTTTGTTCTGACCTAATTCTGACCTCAAATTCACATATGCAGCTTCCATTGAAGTAGATAGGAGTTGTGCATGTGCATCCACTGCAATTGGCCCTGTGTTTTTTTGGCAGACACTTCCTATACATTGCAAATCATAACTCTGGATTTCTCATATCTGTACTGTACATGCACAGGGTAACAGTTATGATAGGTCACTATTTTTATCAATCTGTTTTGTTCTTCCTTAATCAGCCTACACAGCCTCAGGCACATCCCAAGCCAATCGATATGTGGGACTAAGCCCAAGAGACCCATCCTTCCTACACCAGCAACAGGTGGGCAAGTTTCACATAGGTGTAATGATATAAACAAGCTTTTGCAATTTTACCTTTCTACATGCTGCCACTGATATCTTGGATTAGAATGGGATCCTAACGGTTTCAGTATTTATTGTATGAAGACTAGATATGATACAAACAAAAGCAAAAGTTCTGTAGCCAACTTCAACATGACATAGGCCTTTGCTTCTTAGATTTGTGCCATCTTAAGGAACTTTTAACAATGCTTCCTTCAACTATTTTATTTTTGATGAACTTCTAGTAGAACCTATAATTAATATTAAAAATAAGAATAGAGTGTTCATGGGGCAAAACTGCAAACTGATTTCTAAATCAATAAAAAATAAGCAAAATTAAACTGTACAAATTATGATTCTAAAGCTATTTCATATTTTTCAGATGTTTGAGCTACATTTCTGCATTTTAGTTCCAGAAGATGAGTTATAAAACTAAATTCTCAATGCAACACATCATCATTCCTAGTTTAATAGATTTAAATTGGTTTGCCATTTTAGATGTGATAAAAACACGTTTTTGTTCTAGTTTCTTACATCATTTATGTCTCAAGTAGCATTTTAAATTTCACATCTCATTAATGCTGTAAATTTAATTCAAATGAAGTGTTTACCCAAACTGTGAAAATATACAGTCGAGATTAATGGTGGTTTATAAATAAATTAGCTGCAGTCAATAGCAAGGCCATGCAAATACAGAAATTGTGCATTGCTAGTAACTGCATAATAGAAATAAATGCAGACACTTTAGAACTTTAGTATATTTTATGATCTGTGTATATGCTGCTCCCAGCTTTTTAACAGCAGAGGAGTCTGAAATTAACAGCATGTAAAATGTTACAAGGAAAAAATTGAATATGGCAGGCAGAAAAGAGCTGTTAAGTAGTTCTCATTATTTATTGTACTGTATTTTTTCTCAGGCTTGTGTTCCTATCAACAGTTGGTACCCATGCCTGTTTTATTTTCAGCAAAACCTCTATGTTCTTTGTTTGTTGTGACATAGCTAAACTATGCTACATCTGGAACTCCCTATCCCTACCCACTCTGAGGCCAAGGTGGCAGTATGTATATATTAAAGGTCACCACATGCAGAGTTCAGAGAAAATCATAAAGATGATAGTTTATTCAAGATAGTTGATGTTTTGCCAGTTTTTTTTAAACCAGTGAGACCTAACTGAAAACATCTGTATGCAGTTATGAAAATACCAAATAACAATTAGTGGTTTTCACCAACTATTGGTTTTTCAGTAAATTTTCTGGTATGCTGCTTTTTTCACCTCTCTAAGATTGCTGTAATATGAAATGTGTTATAATTACTATAATATGTTCCTATTTGACAAATGTACAGTATGTGTTCATTCTATTTTTAAACATAGGCAAGATGTATAGGTTTAAAACTTGCTCTTTTTAAAACTACTGCATGGATATTGTGAACAAATTGGAGCGAGTCCAGCAAAGGGCAACAAAAATGGTGAGGGGGCTGGGAGACGTGACTTATGAGGAAAGACTGAGGGAACTGGGCTTATTTAGTCTAGAGAAGAGAAGACTGAGAGGGGATTTAATAGCAGCCTTCAACTACCTGAAGGGGGGTTTGAAAGAGGATGGAGCTAGACTGTTCTCAGTCATGGCAGATGACAGAACAAGGAGCAACGGTTTCAGGTTTCAGCAAGGGAAGTTTAGGTTAGATATTAGGAAGCATTTTCCCTCTAGAAGGGCAGTAAAACACTGGAACAGGTCACCCAGAAATGTGGTGGAAGCTCCATCCTTGGAGATTTTCAAAATCTGGCTTGACATAGTTTTGGCTGGGATGATCTAGTTGGGGATGGTACTGCTTTGAACAGGGGTTTGGACTAGCTGACCTCCAGAGGTCCCTTCCAACCCTAACTTTCTATGATTCTAAGTACTCTTGTTGTGAAATTTTAAATATTATGTCGTGAAAAATCTCTGTCATTCAGGTAGATTTGGTATTTACAGAAGAAACACAAATATATTTTATTTTAATTAATCACTAATCTTAAAGAGATCTCATTTTTCTTTAAATATGCTAAATTTTTTACTCTCAAGAACATTCAAAGAGTAACAGAAACAGTTACACATCCCTAGGAGGTACTGGAAGCCAACTTAATTTTCTTGTTGAGAAAGTTTATCATTTATATGTTGAGTAGGTGCTTTGTATATATGGGCGCAAAAGCAATGTGAATGTAATGTATCTTCTTTATATTTTTGTTTTTATAACATATTCGCAGGATAAATTTGGAGAATGTTGGCAGTACCATTAACATGTGGCCAGATGGTTAAAAAAAAAGGAGATCTTAAATATATAGCAAATTGAAGATTTTATGCTAACTTTCAGAACTGGTATATCTATTTTTATTCAGTGATGCCATGTAAATTAGCCATTCTACTTTCTAGAGTGTTTTAGAGTATGTATATTTTTGTTCATTTAACTACCGCACTTGCTGACATCCAAGAAGTACATAGTAAAAGCCATATAGTAAAGTGCAAAATTGTTTAATATGTTTGTCTCTGCCATGTAGTCTGTACTCAGTTTTAAATTACGTGAAGTGTGTGTTGGTATGGGGGTATGTATGTGTGTGTGCACATGCTCTTACATACATATACAGGAATTAATTAGGCACCGTTGAATGAACTAGAGGAAGAAAGTACTATAAAAACAAGCAAAGCTTTCTAGGAGTGGGATACTATGAATATATAAGTACAGCAAGTATAAATCAGATTTCTAGTTAATTAGTTGTTACCTTCATCCCCTTAAATTCTGAAATGATTTCAAAGATTACAATGCCATATATGTTTATTATTCAGAAACGAGAAAGAACAGAATTTTCTAAATGACTTTAGTAAAGTAAAGGTTATACTTGGTAAAGCAGAAATGAGATTGATTTACTATGTCCTTTCATTACTTTACAACAATTTAAAAGAGACCACTCTTCTTGTGGCAGGTTCTAAATGCATTTGGTTTAAAGCAGCCCATGATGAATGAAAAGGAAAATCAAGGGGTACATGAAATAAAGGCAATCAATCATTTTATATTAGCTGAGAGAAATTCTAAATTAGAAAGCCAATGGTTTTAGTTCCAGAGAGGTCTTTTAAACATTCACCATATACCCTGTAATATACATTGACCCTTTAAAAAATAAATATTGTCACAGGTACATTCTTTATTTCAATGGAGGGGGCTTTATAAACATTTATTCTCTCAGGCTATGGGAATTATTGACATGCATTGTTGAGTGCCTTTTTGTTGCTGATTTAAAAAAAAAAAAAAAAGAACCATAATGTAGCCCATATAAATTATAGTAACAATCATAAATTTAAGCTGCATGTATAGTTTCTGACTCTCACTTACAAACAGTCTTTTCACAAAATGACAGTTCAGTAAAACTTCCAATAAAACAATTTATAGCCCAAACTTGCTGGAATACTTGCATTTAGATGGGAAATATTAAATGTAATTTTGAAAGATAGCATATATATAGCACCTGTGGGAGCAATGCATTTACAGTTACTGATCTGAATTACTGTGGAAAATGTGCTATTACACATGTTACTTAGCATGCTACATTGATAGTTAAAAAGACAAGGCTATGATGAGGAGCTACAAGTTTATGCAGTCCATTTTCTTTTGAGATTACTGGTTGTTGGTGATATCTTGAAATTTGAGGTATTTCTGCACTGGAACATCCAAAGTAACAAAGCAGGCCTCCCACTAGGTACAGCTACAGTCATCTACATAAGTAAGTGTGTGTGTTTGTGTGTGTGCGCGCGCGCGTGCGTGCACACATGTAAAATATACTGAAGGCATCTATAAACATCCTACTGTTTTGTTGGAAAAAATAGTTTATTTCCAAGTCTTTTAAAATATCTGCTACAAATGGTTAATGACTACTTAATTCTTTAATATTCATTAGTCAGTATTCAAGAATTGTTAACTAGTAGTGATGGCTTCATGTTTTGGGGGATTTTGCTTAATCAAACATCTCTTTAGTCACAATTAAAAAATTATCTTAGAGATAGTATTTGGTTAAGGAGACTTTGTTCTTTACTATTCAAAGTTGTTGTGACTTTAAGAACTAATGAATTTTGTTTGGTGTGCTATGCTAAGCATTCATGCTAAGAAATTCTTTAATGAAGCACATAAGAGAAATGTTGAGTAGTCTTCACAGTTGTACAGTTGCACTTCTGCCTCTCTTCTTTCTCTCTCTTACCCTGTAGCTCATGCACATATTGCTTATATATGAGTTTTAGCAGACTTTGGATTTCTGCATCTAAATTTGCAGGGTGGGGGGCAGCAAAAATTGGAATAATGGGGTTAAATTCAGCCTTGCTATAAGCAGGCTTAACATCTTTGAGCTCAATAAAGTTGTGTCAAAGTTTAATTTTGTCTTCAGTTTTGGGATTGTATTATCATAATGCAGCAATCAATCATTTATAAAAGACTGCAGTTGCAAAAATTTGTGTTGATGGTCTCTAGGTCAGAGTTCTTATGGGTTTCTGACAACACTTTATACTCGGTTCTATGCTGTCATTTCACAGTATCTGATGAAAAGAACTTGGCTTCATGAAAGCTTCTGCTCTCTCTCTATATCTCTTATTTAGCTAATATATACAGGTGCATACCTGCCCTGCCTTCTAACATTTCCTTAGTCTGATTCATTTTATATTGTTATATTTGGATCATTCTTAAACTACATATCTTTAAATTATAGGAATTCTTAGTGTCTGATCAGTATTACTTCTGGGTTTATGGCAACAAATGGTTTCTTGCATAAAACAAAGAAAAAGAAAAGGTTGCTTTTGTGTTCATTACAGCAAAAAGGCAAAAAGGTTCACAGTTAATAAGCTTCCTACTGAAACTGCCTGTCTAAATAGTGAACTTACTCTCAGCCATAATGTTGCCATCCATACTTATTTAACTTTTAATACAGGTTTGAGCTTTTAGAAAGAGCAAGTAGGAAATCATTT